AGGGATGCTGCAAACACACACACACACACACACACACACACACACACACACACACACTTGAGACCCCCCCCCTCCAGAAACCACAAGGTCCACTCAGCCCAGCCAGGAACAGGGCCATGCAACTAGAATCCCACACCTTTGACTGTGACGGTTTTGGAGAGGCCAGACACGGATTTTTTTGTGAAACTCCCAGTTTTTGGAAATTGGCACCTATTTAGAATTCTTAACATCTCATCACTGTGCCAGCCCCAACGGGCTCCCATTTGCAGCCACGTGGATTTCCAGGTGGGTTTTTGGCTTTTGCTCGGCACCAAGCTCTGTGGCTACCCCAGCTTCCCCCAACCAGGCCGGGCCAGGAGCTCATGACAGGGGTGAAAATGAACCAAGCCCAGTGGCCAGGCACCTGCCCACACCCGGGGCACGTAATTAGGAATGTCACCCCTACTCCCCCCAAAGCCTGCGTGGTGGCCCCTTCCACCGAGAGCAAAAGTAAAGCTCTTTCAGAGCCCGCCTTGCACCGGCCTGACGGGCGGCAGGAAAAGCAGCCTCTTCTCTGCACACAGGATGGAAGGGCTGACGTGGTGGCAGAAAGATCCCAGGGGCTGGGGAGGGCCAAAACGAAGGGATTCTCTGCAGGGCCCTGGGTTAGAACCAGGGGACATGGAACTCCCTCCTCCCTGGCCCCCAAGGCAGGGCAACCTAGAGTTCCCTCCCTGGCCCCAGAAGAGCCCTTGACCTTGAGGGTTGAGAGTCCAGACAGGGCTGACTGCTCTACTAGATACCTGCCCTGACTGACTTCTTAAGGAGGTTACTTAGCAATAGTGGACAAAATGTAAAATGCACGTGTCCCAGGACCCAGTCATGCCCCCACTCGGTGTTCGTCCTACAGACGTACTTGAGGAAATGCAAGATGATGTATGTGGAGAGATACTCACTGCAACAGACTTCGTGACAGCAGAGGACTCCACGTCACCTAAAACGCCTGTCAATAGAGGGACGGTTACCAAAATCATAATTCGGACAGGCCACGACATCCTGTGTAGCAGCCGAAATGATCGGCTGCTCTCCGTGGGCTCATCTGGGAAGATCTCCATGACATATTGAGTGAGAAAGCACCATGCAGTGTGGGGGGGAGGGGGTGGGGAAGTGAGGAGGGAAAAAGCCCGTCGTGTCCCGTGGAAGGGCACCCAGACCCGAACAGTGTGGCCCCTGCAGAGAGGGCCAGGGGGCTGCGGACCCCGGCCAGCAGGGTTCACTCATCACCGTCTGGCTGCTGAGGCCTTGGGATTTTGTGACATCTGCATACATTTTTTCCATACATCTGCATACAGCTTTGTAAAACAAAACTAATTTCAAAAGCAAAACAACTCCCATCTACTTGTTTAAAAACCCTCAGGCCAAAGTTCTGCCGCTGGCAGATCCTGGGGCAGCTTAAGACACCCAGTGCCTCCATGTGGACAGCGTGTCCGGCAGCCTCGAACCAAACGCGGGAATCTGCGGCTGGCCCCGGATGTGTGAATCAGAAAGTCACGGCTGGACGTCCAGGCCTGCAGGGGGCGTGCTGGTGAGTGAAAATGTGTGACACTGAGCACCTGGGAAGGACTGACATCACCCGCTGCCAAACGCTGCACAGAACCCTCAGCACGGGCCAGGCACCTGCACCCTCCCACCCGCTCCGGCTGAGAGCCCTAAGGACAAAAGTGCCCCTCACACGCCGGGCACCGTGTCTGCACCTGCTCAACACACATCTGTAGGATGAACATGTGAACAATAATAGCCCATGCTCCCAGACTGCTTACTGAGGGCCAGACCACGTGGCAAGAGTTTCCTGAGGGTCTGCACCCAGGCCATGCGGCTCCGGAGCTCCCGTCCCTCACCACCCTGCCCCGCCTGACCAGGGCCTCTACCCTCGACTCCAGAATGGGATCCAGTCTCCACGCTCACAGCCCCTGGCTCGGCCCTGCCCGCTCTTCCCCTGGATCACGGAGGTCCCCCCACTTGGCATCTCCTCATTTCTCCCCACTGCGGACCACGCACATGTTGCCAGACCTTTGCCCTGAAGTTCCTTCTGGTCCTCCCTGCATCTCCGTCCCAGCCCTTGCCTGTCTCCCTCATGGCATTTATCATTTAGTTGCTCTGATCATCATTGAGTCTGCCCATCTGAGAGCAGGTGCCGCACCTGGCTCACTGGCCTCTCCCCGATGCCCAGAGTGTGCCCGGCACAAGCACCTCTGCCATTAAAACCAAGGAACAAATTAGTACAGAACCACAGCCTGAGACGGAGTTGACCATGTTTGGCTCTACCCGCAGGCTTCTCATCTGAACATCTACAGCGTGAATGCCCAGAGAGGACCCGCAAGTCACAAGGACAGGACACACGTGGGGAGAGGCGGGGTTCCATGGCATTTGCAGGTTGGACTCAGTAGAATATTCTGTGCTTCCACAAAGAAACAGCCTCTTCTATACTTTTCTTAAAGCTCAAGGGCCTCTTTGGCTAATTTATGTCTTCCTACTTTAGTCCTGACATTTGTAAAATATGTTTGGTAAAATAGTTCCTTTTCCTCTTAATGAATGGAAAAAAAAATCAAAAGTTCAAGCATAAGGGCAAATGGTGCCCGACACCAGTTTCGGGTATGGGGGAGACAATAGGGAAGAGCGGGGACTGTCACATGTAGAGGTTTCTACTGTCCCACAAGAGCAGGGCCCTCGTGTGTTTCACTGCTGTGCTATCCCCAGTGCCTGCCACACAGGAGGGTATGGGGTGTTCACTGAAGCAAGTCCACTTCGCCAGGAACCGCAGGACACCCCAAGGCCTGGAGCGGGCTGGTCCGAGACTCCCACAGCTCCACGTAAAAGCCGAGAGCAATCCTAGGAGAAGGGCCCGTGGGGAGGCGGCGGGGAGGACCTGCGCCCAGGCCTGTTCCCAAACCAGACCTCCCTCGCCCCACTCATCTGCCCATCTGCAAACAGCCTCAGCTCCGCGCCCTGCCAATGAATTCAGCTTTAAGTAGAGCCTGCAGATGATGCCGCTGATAGTTTCTGCTGCTTTGGGTAAATAAACTTCAGCAGGCTCTCGAAGTGGGTTTATTGCTGCACGGAGCTACAGGGAGCTGGGCTCTTCATTACGGCCCTTACAAATGAGCGTGAGCCAGCCCGCGTCGGCATTAAAGAGAGCCCTGCATGAGAAAATGAAGTTAATACTTACAGTTCCTCTGGAAGGCTGCCCCTAATAGAAACTAAATGGAGCTCAGGTTTAGCCACTGGGCACAGGGACCTCTTGCTACTGAGAGCAAGGGAGAAAAGGGACAGAAAAGACACTCAGGTTACTTAAACCAGTAAAAATCTGTAGACAACCTAAATGCCCATCCCTGGGGGCATGGGTCATCAGTCACAGTACACCAGTAGGACGTCCCTTATTCCATGATCAACATAACCACCTCCTAGCCACGGGGCCCCTGCCAGCAAGCAGCGCATGGGTCACGAACAGAGTTCAGCGCACCACTACGTACCGTGTGCCCGTGGAATAGGAGTGACTATTATTTAACCACAGGATCCTAGGAAGCCAAAGAGCGATGCAGACCTGCGTGCTCCTGGGGACGCCACCAGCGGCAGATGACTATGAACCACTTACAGTGTGGCCAATCCCAACTGAGATGTGTCGTAAGTTCTATATTAAAGCCTGATTTCGAAAACTTAGTGCAATGAAAAGAATGTAACAATCTCATTCCGTGTTTTTTACATCAATGGCATGCTGAAATGATATATACTGGATGCGCAATACTATTATTTACAGGATTAAAAGTAATTGCACCTGTTTCTTTTTCCTTTACTATGTGTGGTTCTTAGAGAACACTTAAAATTATGTGGATGGTTCACGTTTGTGGCTCAGACTCGATTTCCATTGGACATGCTATTCTAAAAGATTGAGACCTCATTCACATACCATAAAATTCGCCCTTTTAAGAATGTGCAATTCAGTGGTTTTCCGTACATTCACAAAGTTGTGTAACCATTACTGCTAATTCCAGGATATTTTCATCTCCCTGCAAAGACGCTCTCCGAACCTTATCATTAGCGGTCACCCCCCCATTTGTTTATGCTGTTTGAGTAAAGAAAAGCAAATTGTAGAGCGGTATTACAGTATCAACTGGAGTTTTATAGAAATGATTATTTACTATTATTAGTACGCACGCCCACATTTGTACATTAAAAAAAATGTTTGCAAACTCTTACTGATGGTTATCTCAGGGACCTAAGGTCCAGGCGGGAGTCAAAGGGGAGTGGGCACTCATCCTTTATTTTCTATATTTCTGCACTGCTTTTGAGATTTAAAAAGAGAATGAATTTCTAGTTCTACCTAAATAACTCCTTGTGGCCTTGGGTAACTTCCACGGCACTGTCAACAGATTGGCTTCCGCTGGAAGAAGGGTCTAGTTTTAGATCTCCTTTTTATTCTGTGCGTTTAAAATAGTAAGTACAGGCAGAGACGAGGTATTTTCCCTCCTAGCAACAGACGGGACCAAGGCCCGGTGGGTCCCCGCACAGACTCAGCCCCACCGCCTCCTCGCCAGCGCCCGACAAACAGCTCCGAGCCCAGCGGCTCAGTGCCCCGGACAGGAGCCTGGCCTCCCCTAGGGCCCAGCCAGGCAAAGGGCAGCAGCTCCTGCCGAAGCTGGTGGGTCTTGGGTGGGGATGGGAGCCCAGTCTGGGACCCCGGGGACGGTGTCAGCTGGAAGGGGAGTTGGCACGACCTGACGCGCATATTTGGGTAGAGCCAAGGAGTCACTGCTCCGCGAAAAAGGGGACCCTCGCGCCCCTACTCCCGGCCCGGCACGCTTCCGGCGGGGTGCGAGAGGATGCTACCGGGAAGCTGAGGGTTTGGGTCGGGGTACCAGCGTACTGGGGGCCCACACCCATCCACTTCTCCCCCGGGACGCGCGGGCCCCGAAGCTTTCAACCCCGAGACACGCCTCCCGCCCTTCCAGGACCCTGTCCTCTACCTCGGCCCCAGGCTCGGGGGTCAGGAAGAGCGCGAGCTCGTGCGCCCCGGAGCGCACGGGCTCCGGCCCGTCGCGGTCCAAAAGGAGCATCAGGAGCGCGGTGGGGTCCAGCTGGTGAAGGCTGTCGGGGAGCCTGTCAGTGTACCCCGACCTCGGAGCCCCACCCCCGCGGCCCGCCCGGCGGAGGCAGGTCAGGTGCGCCTGCGGAGGTTGCGGCCCACGCCTTCCGAAGCGCCGGCCGAGTGGGCAGCGCCACCCAGTGGCGCGCGTTGCTCACTGCACCCGGCCCTCGCACTACCTGGTAAACAAGAGAGTCTCAACCTCGCCCGCGGATTGCAACCTCCTGGGGCTCTTATAAAACTTCCAAAAATTCGGGCCACGCACAGTCCCGGGTGGAAACCTGGGCGTAGGTATTTTTGAAGTTCGTCAGGTGATTTCAACATACAGGGTCTGGCACAAATAACGCCTCTTTTTAATTCCAAAATCATAAGCATGCAATGCAATCTGTAACATAACATCACACTCAAGCACGCCCTCTGACATTTTAGGCGAAATGTTCAAATTAAAACTATACATTATTACACCCGTATTATTACCCTACCAACCACACTCAAGCAGGCCTTCCGTCTGCCAGACCCTGTACATCTGACTTTGATGGGTGTAAACAGCCCCTTTTTATTGGAATCCAGCGGAGCGATGGTTTCCAGCCCCCGAAACACTCTGTAAGGTCCTGGGGAGCTTTTAGAAGTCAGGAGGCCAGGCCTCCTCCCAGACCGCCACAGCCAGAATCCCTGCGGGTGGGGCTTGGGCACGGGTTGTTTCAAAGCTCCGCGGGTGATCCAGGATAGAGAGCCGCTCTCCTAAAGGATCCTTTCGTTTAAAGACCGAAGTCCCCGCCCCCAAGGCCCTCCTCCCTTCAGCCTCCGGTTGGCGCCAGGCGGGGAGTCCTGGAAATTGGGGAATGCGGGTGTGGCGGTCCTCTTCCTCGCTGGGGCAGCTTTCAAAATAAGCTCCGCAGAGAATTCTTAAGCGCACCAAATTTGACCCCTTGACCTCCCATAGGAGGCTCGTCCAAACTCTTTAGAGGCTGCAGAGTGGGGTGCACCCCCGAGAGCAACGCTAATGACGAATACTGAATAAAGTAAAGGAGTGGGGGGGGGGGTCTAGGTTTCTCGTTTTTCCTACGACGGCTTTTCTTTTACAATATTAAAGTCGTTTTTAAAAATTGGGCTCGGCTTAGCGTTGCAACTAATTTTTAAAAATATACTGGACGTCGCTTATCCCCCTCAAGTTAAATCTGAATTTATATTTTCTCTCATGACCCCAGGGAGGGGGCGTCAGCACAAGCTTGGTCTGCCTTCTGGGTAACCCCTCACTGCACAATTTCCACTTCCGCAGCGGCCCACCGCTAATGTCTCCACTTCTCCGCCCGAACATTCAGGCCTTCGGGCCAGAGTCATTTTCCAGAAAATTCTTGGCAAAGCCTTGGGCCTCAGGTGCTTGGGGAAGGGATTTGATAGGAACTCACTGAACCTGCACTTGGCCGCTCATTTCTGTGCTGACCTTCCTGATGCGGAGCCCTCCCACGCAGCATCACGCACAGCCGGGAGTGGCGCTCGGACTCTGCCCCGCAGGCTGGCGGGGGCCCTCCCTCGGAAAAGCCCAGCGGTGGCCTCAGATCAGCCTGGAGCTCGGCAAACTTCCCCCATGGATGGATCTCAAAAACTACGCTGAGTTACAGAAGGCTCCGTAGGGCGCGCTGCCATTAACATAAAGTTTGAAAAACATGCGCAGGCACACTGTATATTGTTTATGGGAACAGACATATGGAGTGAGAGGATAAAGCTGTGCCCGAGAATGATGTGCCTCAGCCAGGAAAGCGGGTACTGGTGCTGGGGGGTGGGGGGTGGGGAAGATGGTATGAGAGGGGGCTCAGTTATAATCGCAAGGTTTTATTTCTCCTGCTGATACTGGTTATACTATTTAAACTTGTTAAATGCCCCAACGACTCATTAAAGTTAAAACAAAAAGCCTGGGATATGAGCTGAGGGCGCAGACTGCCCAGGCCCCCTGCCCCTGGAGAAGGGGCATCTAGGGAACGGATCCGGGCCCTTCCCAAGCATCTCAGTGATTCACTCCCTGCGCCAAGTTGGCCGGAGAACAGTCACTTTGTTTCTAGTCCCCCCCTCCCCCACCAAATGCTTTAGAAACAGTTTGCTAAGAATACAGATGCCCAGAGCCCTGCCCCAACTTCCTGTCTGCACCAGCATCTTTGGGGAGCTGGGCACTCGCGTTTTTAAAGCTCTGCAGCTGAGTCCCTCGTACACCAAGGTCAAGAGGAAGCCCCCCACCTGCGGGCCTCCCTTTTACTGCCGCCATTAGCCCAGGGACCCCCATGGGAGGCGAAATGAATGATTTTTAAACAGAGGAATGATTTTTTTTTTTTTAATCTCCTGGTCCCTCAGCGTTGTTGGCCCATGCCCCAGCGCCCTGCTTTGGGTCCCCAGATCCTGGGGAGACCGTGGAGCTGACGGCAAGCCCGAGGCCCGGAATGCAATCTGCCTAGGCCGCACCCTGCCCAAACCAGTTTGAACCAGCTGCGGGGATGGAGCCCTGGCGGTCCCCGCGAGCTCCCCCTGGCGCCCAAGCCCAGCTCAGAGCTGCTGCTCCGGCCTCCTGCTCCCGAGTCGCCCAAGAGTGAGGACTGCGGGGCGGCAGCTTCCATTCCAGCCTGGGGTGGTGGTGCTAGTGACCGCCCGGCCCTCAAGACCTCCAGGAGCCCTGGCAAGCCCCCGCTGGGCCCCAGGGTCACACACCCTTCCACCTCCACGCCATCTGGCTTCACCTCCTGCTGCAAAATGGTGGCCTGTCTGTGTCTTGTCAAGGTCAGCTCTGGCCCAGGCTTCAGGCACACAAGGTTCTAGATTAGCAACGATTCCTGAGTTCAGCTGCATACTGGAAACTCCTGGGAAACTTCTAGAAAACTATGATGGCCAGACCCCACTTCAGAGACTGATTTAATAGGTCTAAGGTGTGGCTTTAGTTTGGGGAGGTTTAAGAGATCCTGCCGGCACTTCTAACGTGCACACTGTTCCCGTGCTGAATTCTGGAGGCGCCAGGATCCTGCGGTGCCTTGGCCTCGACTTCGTCGGTCCTCATTGCTTATGTGTCCTGAGAGCCCACCGTGCCAGGCACTGTTCTCAACTTCACACGGATGGCCCCGATGAAACTCTACCACACCCTGTGCGGTAGGCTGGCCCTGTTGTGACGCCCATTTTACAGATGAGAAAACCGAGAGGTGGTGAGGCTCGATTGCTTGACCAAGATGATAACTACCAAGTGGAAAAGTCAGGATTTGAATTCGGACAGGCCGATTCCAGAACCCAAGTCCTTACCTGCTACTCACACCAAGAAAACCCGCTTTGGGTTCCTGTGGCCGTCTCTCTAGCCCCAGCCTGGCCTATTGGAAAAGCCCTAAGCAACCCACTCTTTTCCCTGCCCTCCAGAAGCACATTCTGGTTGTCTTCCTTCTTGCTCACAATTCTTCAGTGGCTCCCCAGTGCCCACTGAGTGAAGTTCAAAGGCCTGGCCCTACCTTGCCAGTATGTTTCACACGTCTTTCCCTTTGAACCCTAAACTGCACATGGGAGCCCAGTAAGAGAGGCACTTAAGTACAAACTGTGAGGAGCGCCGCCTGGTGGTGGGCACCGGGGACTGATCATCTCAGCCGGAAGGGCCCTGGGTTCCTGCTGGCCTCTCCCAAGCCGGGGCCCTGCCATGGGGCCTGCCTGAGCCACATGAGTTTGTTTGTCATTTTAATAACTAATTTTGTAAAATATAAAGGACAAGCGAAGAGCAAGGAGAGGATTTGCTCTTTAGATACTAAAATATAGTTCAAAGCTTCAGAATGAAATGGTTCCAAAGTGGGCAAATGGATCAACAAATCATAATGATTTGGCCAAAACAAACTCAAGAACATCTGAGAAGTTAATAAATGACAAAGGTGAAACTTCAATTTAATGAGAAAGTAGAGTCTTATTCAACATACAATGCTAGAACAATTAATGGAGAATTAAAAAAAATCAGACCTCTTACCTGAGGCCCAATAATTTTCAGATGAATTAAATATTTAAGTATAAAGAAATCATAAAATTGTAGTACTCAAGATAAAATCTGGGAAAAGATATATAGAATTTGAAAGGGAAACAATTAGAGAAAAGAATAAAGGATTTCACTATAGAAACTAAGAAATTCCTATACAATAAACAGAAATGCCAATGATACACATAGTAAGAAGCAGTAACTATAATTAGGAAAAGAGATAGCCATAGGTGGATTTTCTTAATATATACAACACTTCTACGTATTAAGAAAAGATCGGCTGTGGCTGGTGTAGCTCAGTGGATTGAGCACGGGCCTGCAAACCAGAGGATCGTGGTTCGATTCCCAGTCAGGGCATGTTCCTGGGTTGCAGGCCAGTTCCCAGCAGGGGACACATGAGAGGCAACCGTACATTGATGTTTCTCTCTTTCTCTCCTTCCCTTCCCCTCTAAAGATAAATAAATAAAATCTTAAAAACAAAAAATAAAAATCCAATATCTCAATTTCTTAAATGTTTTGCAAAGGACTCAAATAGAGAAGCTAATGAAAGAAGAAATACAATAAACAATAAAAAACACTTTCAAACTAATAAAGATATGCAAAGTAAAATAATGACATGCCTTCTCCCCCACCTTCCCCCACCTCCCACCCACCTGCCACCGCAGCGCTATAAAACAGGCAGAGTCTGAGAGTAAAAAGTTTGCTGGTTTGGAGGGGAAATGACTCACACACACCCCTGGTCAGGCTGTAAATTAGAACCTTTCCAGAAGGAAATGGGATGTGCTGTGACCTGATGATTCCTTCTCTGGGAACACGCCCTAAGGAAATAATTGGGCAAAGGATGAAAGGATGTATTTACAAAGCCGTCCGCCCCGTGTGTGATCAGGAAGAAAATGGAAAGAGCCACCTGCAGGGAATGGGTGTTAGAAAGTGCTGGTCCCCCTGTGCATTGATGCCCAGAACCACAACACGTGATGCAAAGTGAAGCCATTCTCAAGACTTTGTCCTCTGAAGAAAGCAAACTTCAGAATAATTTATATGGGTGCCGTGACCCCGCCTTCGCCCAAATACACGTTAGGTAATATACACCAATATGCTCGTGGACCAGA